CCCATGAGAATTATGGTTCTCAAAATGTTTTAAGAAGATTTTATGAAGAGGGAACAGGCTAAGAAGAAGATGAGAAGCAGAGCACAGACAGAAAAAAATTAAGGTGAGAAACTAAGTGTGACTTTACTGCCATCAGTAGTTCTGAAAGTCAAATTAGACTAGAAGCTTTGGATAACAGTGTATTAGTGAAGGACTGATTATCCTGCACAGCATCATTCAGCAGGGCGATGAACAGTCTAGGATAAATTAGGAGAATAAAAAGCTTTTAGAAATGTTAAATTCTAGTATCAGCTGCATACTAGAGAAATATTAAACTAGAGTGCCTATTTTAAATACTGGAACATTATTATACTCACGAACAAAACCAAGATCATGGATATTTTAATAACAAATGTGTTTCTTAAGCTAAATTTGGAAATTTTATATCTACTTCAACTTAAAAAAGTCAAGAGTTTATACTTCCATAATCTTTACCCTTGCCTAGTACCTTCCTACTAAAGCTGGCAGCATAGCCCAATATAAAGGTCACCTGATACTTCCCATTTTAAGACACTAATTTGTTTTCTCATAACATCAGCAACTTGGCTAATATTTTTCATGGCAGGTACTTGCTCGGACAAAATTTTTCAAAGAACTTCTGTCCAAACACTGCCATTTCAGAAATATTGGCAGAAAAAGGTGCCTTATCCTTAACAAAATAACCCAGCTCCCTGTTTGAGAAGTTGATACTTTCCCATAGTCAGACCAATATGTCAGCAACAGGAGACCTTTATTTTCACACTCTCTTTGACTGAACTAAAAAACTTTGCAAAATCACAGTTCATTCAAGTTCAGCACAGATCTGCTACAGACTCTTAGCTGAAAACTTAAACTCCTGACCATACACAGCAAGTCTGAGATGGCTGATAAAGGTTTTCCCTGCAGTTGAACTTCTAGGCTTGTGTGCCATGCCACAAATGGACTCTGAAACTGCTGTTCAAGATTCCATCTTGTGTTGGGAAGGCCCATCAGGCAATGTGGAAAGAAGTTTTCTATTTCAAGTGCAGAGGAGACAAAAGCCAAACAAAAGATATAGACTAGGGAGGGGAAAAAGAGAAAAAAGGAAACCAGGAGGAGAAGAGAAAGGTCAGACAAAGGAGCCAACAAGGAGACTGCAAGAAAAACTGGCAAACACTTTCAAAACCAGTGAGACTGAGGATGAAAGAAAGCAGATCTGAAGAAAAGTCAGGCTGTAGAAGGCATATGTGACTGTGGGGCAAAAAGACTGGAATAATAAGCTGATGATGGGAACATCACACAGTACGAGTAGAAACAGGAACATATTTGGGAGGGGGAAGGGAAGCAGGAGATAAAATGTTGCCTGGAAATTGGAAAGGAAGACATACTAGAGGAGAAGCCACAAGGAAAAGATACTGGACTAACTAGGCAAGGAGACTGAGAATAAGAAACCAGAAGAGCAAATTAATGCAACAGTTGAAAGAAATCTCAAGCTTTGAGACTAGCTCTACAGGTTCTGGCTCAGCCAGTGAACCATGTAAATGTTAATACAATGCTACATGATGGATTGTTATTTTTCCACCTTTCAGGGTTTCTTACTCAGCTAAATTACTGCAGCTTGACAAGTTACCGTGAACCATCTGAGCATCATTTTCACACACACACACCAGCAAAGCCCACAAAAACCAGAAGGCAATTCACATCAGCTCACTCCTCTTGGCCACTGTCTAAGCTAATGCAATATACAGTTGTTATGAGCCAGGAGTAGGCATCTGGAAAGCTGCCATTGTTGATCTAATTCTTAGGTACCTGTTAAGCTGCAGTAACTTATCATGTACCTAAACCTTTAATGTGGAGTATGAATAACTTTATTATAAAATAACAGAGACTGTAAGTACATACAGCCACTTATTTGGTATGTTTGCCACTTCCAGTTTTTACTTTGTTCAGTCATTCAAGCTAGAACATGCTCACCTTTGAATTTCTTTGCAGAACTATTTTTTCCCCCTGCAAAACCTGAAAATATAAGGGCAAGATGTGTACTGCCATCTGTCAGTCTTCATGGCAATATTTTAACTGAAATTCAACCTTTTCAACACACTGAGGAGAGCTACAAAGAAGCTGAAACTTTGGCAGATAAAAAACTTGTTTTCAATTTGCCTCAACATGCATTAATACCACTTGTGTAAGTGCTCATCTGTGCAATTCCATTCATACATACATCAGCTCAGGGACTCTTAAAAAAAATAATCAATCAGGAAGCATTTTTTAAGTGGCTATTAGGGCGAGTACAGTTTATACTTGGCAGAAGGGCACTTGCAATATACTTTTATTCTAGTAATACTACTAAAAATATTTCAGGTTTAGATAGCACCTTTCATCAGCACTTCTCAAACTGCAAAAGCACAGGGTTCCTGCCTCCCTGTGCATCACTTAGGATACTGCTGCAAGATTTCAGCATGTGCTCTCTAGGCTGAAGGCTTTGGACAAAGCTCTGGAACTGACCTTTGCTACAAGAAAAAAGCTTAATCTCCTGTGCCAGAAAGAACTATGCTGATTTTTCTTAAGCAGATACACAGCTCAAATTTGTGTTCTATGGAGGTCATTCTGATAATGCTGGATAAAAACTTTTATGACTTAAATCTACTCTATCTAGAGACTTAAAATGGGTGCACTGCATCAAATATTCAGCTATAATTATCAGCACTACCTACCAATGAAATGAAACTGTACCTAGAGTGAAACTCAGCAGCTAAGGATTCACTGAAATCCTACAAGCAGCTCAGGACAAGCTATATTACAGAATACAGCACTTGGATAGCACAATTACTTTGTAAATAAGATTTACCTGCTGTGGCATTATAGAAAATTAAGAAACCCTACAGGACTGAGCAGCCTCTACATTTTGTATATAATTTTTTTTTTAATTAAAGATGAAATGTTTTAAGACTCCTACTTCAGTCTTTAAAGTCAAATATTACAGAGGATCACTGAGAAAACTTGATTCTGGAATTCCTAGCATTAGTTTTGTTAAAGTAAATATATTTTATGAAAAACAACACTGAGAAAATCTCTGTGTTGGTATGCAGTATACGTGATGTCACCAGTTACTTCCACTTAGTTATCAAATGACAAGTATCATGTTGGAACACTGAAGAACCTGGTTTTTTTCTTCTGGATTGGGGGTTTTTTTCCCCATATATTAATTTATCTTGTAATAATCTTCACTTTTAACATTTCTTTCAAGACTTAACATTTTTTTAATAATTATATTCCTTAGGGCATTTAATTTTGAAAAGAATACTGTTAGAGTACATTAATTTTCCCCAATTTCTAACCATCTGCAAGATAAGTAGGATAAAAAATATGCTCCACCGATTTAATTAAAATTGTAATAGTAAAGAATTCAGTGCTTTAAACTTATAGATTAATAACCAAAGGAAGCATTCTTTCAAAATATATTTAGCTTGCCTTACTAGCACTGAAAGTGAATAAGAAAACCCACCTTGCATGGTTAAAGACTGTGTAAATACAAAATTTCTGCTGTAAGGCAGAAACATGACAGAAACAATTATTATACTTTTTTATCCAATACAAACGGGTTGAGAATATTTAGGAGCATCTGCTGAAATAATTTAAGGCCTCAAACTTGCACAGAACTATTTAGGTTTAACTGCATCTAAGATGAGACCTACTAGAGCTAACAAGGAGTATTCTTGGGTATTAAACTTTTTTTTATTAATTCTATACAAATGTTAAGGAAACAAACACTTCAATATTAGATCAAATTTTGAAATTCATATGCTATTTACTTTTTTTGAAAAAAACTAGGAATTTTCCTGACATGGAAATTACAACAAAAGAATGCGTATCTCAAATACCATTAATTGTTATTTTAAGCACAGAATAAAGACTTCCTTGAAAATAAAAGCAGCTGACTAAAAATCAGTAACAAACTTCCTGGGCAGAGTGCAGTGATCAGTATTTTGGAGATATTTATGACTACAGGATATTGTTCAAAAATGCATCTTGTAAACAGAGCCCAAGTGAATTTGAAACTCTTATTCCCCTATATTCCCCTATAATTTGTTTTAAACTTGAATAACCTATTTTTGCATTCTTTTTAGAAATGTTATGTGTATATATGATGCCTGATACAGATATACTTTTTTTGCTTAACACAAAAGTCTCACAGAATGTCCTCACTATATTAACAACCTACCTGATGAGCCAAATCCACCAAGTGCAGAGCCGATAGCTGCTCCTAAAGAGCTGCTACTTCCAAAGCCAAGAGATGTGCTTCCTGGTTGGCCAGGACCATGTGAAAAAAGGGAACTGCTCTGGGAGTTATTGGTCAAAGAGTTACTGCCATAAAATGAATTGGATTGTAGGCTACTATTTGTTTGCTGTTGCTGTTGTTGTGGCTGGGCACCAAGTGGCCGAAATAGACCGTTCGTGGCTCCCGTGAGATTGTTTGCTGATCCTCCAGCTGAAGCAGCTGCAGCTGTAAAACACACGTGTTCAATCATAATTACTCTCTCAAACATTTCTGACTGAAAACGGACTATTCAGAGCTAAATTGTATTTTCTTGAAGCCCTCTTAAACAAGCAGAAATTCACATATTAAAAGACTAAAAGAGACTTTATAGCAATACAGTCTTAATTACCCAAGGGAAAAAAAAAAATGAAGACAGCATATGGTGTAGGCTAATCAAGGCTGTAGAACTGTTAATGTAATTGAGGGAATTTTCAGTGTAAACATATAAGACATTACTGTTTACTGAACTTTTTATATCCAAAGTTGCAATAGCAGAGTGGCAGCTAAGAGTCATTCAAAGACATCTTCAGCTACTACTGTCAGACGCAAGTTCTGCATAGAGAAATTTATAGATTAAATTAAAATCTAATTTTCTGAACAGATTAAGTTAATTAGTATTTTGGATTTTTCAGTTAGTACTTTGGATTTTAATTTAACAAATGCAATAAATGGTTCAGTAAAGTAATACTAAATCTTACAACTGATAAAAAAAGAAAACTAGAGACTTGATATAACTAATTCTCCTCTTCTGCTGTCCATTCTATACATAGTTTTCTTCCTTGCCAGACTTTTCAGGAGAAAATACTTCCAGAAGAAAAGCATAGCAAGGTTCCAGAGCAGTCCATCTTCTGCCAGGCCGAAGCAATGAAATGATGCTTCCTAGAGGACACCATTTAGGGGACTGATGACAAGTGCATGTTATATGCATGGGGAGAGGAAGGAGAAAATGTTTGCATCTGACAAAAAACATCCTATCATGCAAAAACATGCCTGCATATGTATCGGGAGAGGACTGTAAATTTGAACTAAAAATGGAAAACCACATCTCTGAGAAACAGCAGTCTCTGTCAGAGAACAAGAGGCAACAGAAAAAGACAAAGGAGGTATGATATATCCTTCACAACTAGAAACCTTCACAGATGCATATAAACATCAATAATAACAAATACTAATCAACATTACTGTTAAGATTCAGTACAGAAGTGAAAGAAACCTCCATGCAGGATCAAATACTTACCTGCTTGTGCTGCTGCAGAACTGATTAGAACAGGAGTTGAGGCCACCAACCTGACTGGTGCACCAAGGCCAGTTCTTGCTCCAGGGCCTACTACTAAGGCACCAGTCTGATCGTAATAGGCAGTGGGAGCTAGTACTTGATAGCCTACACAACACAGAAGACAAGGATTAGCAGTACAGATAGTCTCATGGCCTTGAAATATTCTAACCAAACTACAAGGGGGGAAACCAGCCTTTCTCCCACACTGCCTTTGAACATCAACTGGACATCAAAAGAAAAAACAGTGAACACAGTAAAACGCTGTGACAAAACTGGACTTAGAAATGTTCCATGTAATCTTTTACTACTAGAATGACAAGTAAATTTAGTAGTCTAAAGCTGAATTTATTGTCAAGGTTAGCAAAGTATCTAACAGCACAGTGAGAAGGTACAGACACAATACAACTGGCCATATTTGGATCATTACCAAATCAACTTCTTTCAGCAATTTAAAACTCTACATTCCTCTTATACTCCTTTGTACACGGAAAAGCTATTGAAACCTGTATAATTAATGGGCTGAACTAAGTCCATGTTTGGCAATTCCATACATTACCTAGCCACACTGAAATGTCCATCTGCTAAAACACATCAGGAAAGGAATGTTGTATGTGCAGAAATACCTTGGACCAGTCAGTTTCACAGGAATAAAAAAAGACTGCAATCCAAGTATAATTTCATTCAGTTGACAGTTAAAAAGTTGGAATTGGGAATATTTGAATGAAAGAGAGCAAAAGAGACAAAAAAAGCACAACAAAAAACCCTTGGACAAGAGCAAGAGAATTAATTTTAAAGCTCCTGACACTTTATAGTAAAGTAGATGAATTGGAGTAAGAATCCCTAAAAAGGAAGATGAGCTATAGGTGCCACCGGCTCTTCCACCTACAGAAATGTGGTGTGCTGCTCTACCACCTTCACCACTAAGAAAGGTTGCTACATTCCCAAGGCAGGGAAAGGTAAGTGACTGCTGTTTGTTTTACTGTAGATCTGTAGAGATCAGTGACACTGTAGGAAAGCTCTTCATACTACATGTGCCAGCACCCGTTAGCAATGTTTAATTCCCAGTACCTATATAATCTCTATTTTTACTCACAGCACGTTCAATTGATAACACCATGTTGATCCTGCTGTTACTGCTGTATCATATAAAACCCCTTTTTCAGAACTCAGAATTGACTAACACTTACCAGCATTTACTCTATCCACTTACCCTCTGCAAATGCACAAACCCATGGATAATGCTACAGCTGTATAAGAAAGGACTGATCCTCTCTTTACACCTTTGTGCTCATCTGAAACTCATCTAGAGCATTTTATATTACTTCAGGCCCACAATGTAAACAAGCCTATTGTCCAATGCAAAATACTTGGGGGATAGGGGAGAAAATGTACACAGTTTTGCATAAATTAAACTTACTGGGATTAATACTAATGCAGTTTAATATATTAATATTTTCTATAATATTTGTATCATATTACTGTTAAATTAAGAAATGGAAGCAACTTGCCCGTGCTCTTTACATTACAAGATACCAAATCCCTCTTGATACTTCCCTACCAGTATCTTAATCTGTGATCCTCCCAAGACAGGTCATTTTTAATTAGTAATAAGAAGCAGGGTAAATAGCATCAAGATACTGCGTATCACAGAAGGGTCAAGCTATGCATGAGAGCTGATGGGTGCATCTGTGCTCCCAATCTCTGAAATGAATACATTTTGACCCAAAATAGGAGGCCTCAGCTTTCTATTTAAATCTAGGACTCTTTGTGAAATTGCTAAAACCTTGCTAAGTGCATCTGTAGGATAAAAGGTATAAAATTATTTGCTTTGATATAAAAAATACAATTTCAGAGAGACTGTCTCAGCTCAGATTAAACAGCTGAAGAACAGCACTCACAACAAAACTTAAATCTTCTACTTTTCCTTCCCCTACACTATTCCACAAACTTTGTGCTTTATCCCAGAAAGATGAGCACAAAGCTAAAAACTTCCACTGCCTTGTCTCTTACCAAAGATAAAATGGTGACTCGGCAGATCTCCTCTCTAATTCCCTCTCTCTTCCTGTTTCACTTTTTATTACCTCTCCATTACATCATCATCCCTTGCACCGTGGCTGTGCAATTTCCTCTGCAAATTAACAATAACTGAAGCTCACTTCAGTGCCTTCACATTCAAGCTAACTGTGGTCTTCCAGTGCAACCAGAAAACTAAAATATACTCCTTATCTCCTAATCAGTTCCTAATCACACCCTTTAGAGTTCAATTGCTCTATCTACACTTACTGTTCCCATATCATCAAGGAATATCAAAGTAAACAATCTTGCTTATGAATATGGTGTTTTGCAGAAAAGATTTCTAAATGTCTCCAAAACCACAGTCTGAAAAACACAAATCTTAAATGTTCTTAAAGAACAAGAGAATGAGAGGAAATCTGTTCTTTTGGCTTGTGCAGCCAGTACTTAAGTGTTGCTCTTATCCATCCAGCAATTTCTTCAGTGTCTTTCACTGGGTACTTCACACTCTCTTCTCATTTTTGTATGTAACACCACAAAGCTCTGCACAGATCTCCTACTTCCTCCCCTCTATGCAACTTCCCTCACTGATAAGGACATACAAATATACGTCAAAGTTTGTCACTTCTCTCTACACAATTTAAGTTAACACTTTTCTTACTGCTGTTTAATTTAGGTTAACACTTCTTACAACCAACTCAATTACCTGCCCATTTTAAGCAATGCCATCCTGACACCCTCTCTCATTCTCCCTCCTGCCTCAGGAACATAACCTCTCTCCCCATGTAGATTACTTACAGCTACTCCCTTATTAACACTCCCAAGATCCAATTATTTGCCTCTGTATACAGATTTGAAAATTTATCAGCTCTTAACCCAACATCTTTCCTTAAAAGTGTCAGTCTCCACTTCAGTCTCCCAAGTCACCAAAACCAGAACCACTATAACCTTTGCTTGTTCTGACGAAGCTGTGCAGTCTTAGCTCTGCACTGCTCTCTCACAAATCGAGTTCAGAACTTACTGTCCTACCACTAAACAATTTATACTTTCTGTAACCATTGCAAATTTGCCCACACTGTAATTCCCTGTCTAAGTCCCATAATGAAATTTGACTTCTCCTTCATACTACCTGGAGGCACAGAAGGTATGACCTACTGCAATGTCACACTTCAAACTCCTCTAGGTAATACAAAGCAAACAAACAAAAAAAAAAGAAATTGTTGATTTTCACATTCTATGCATGTTTTTTCAGACAACTCATTTTACATGCCCACCTGCCTGCCAGATGCAACATTACAGTTTCACTGCCTGAATTACATAAACCTAAGAAGTATTCGACCTAGTGAGTGCAGTCAATGGAGGCTCTGGAGGGACTTGGCTGACTTGCTGTTAGATATCTATTTCAGGGTAAGCTGAGCAACTCTGCAGCCTCTGTACAGCAACTGCACAGGGGACAGCTCCACTAAGCACAATGGCTCCTCAGATAAGTGAGGTCACAGCAGATTCCTGAATTTGGACAATCAAGCCGAGTCCAGAAGCTGTCTGAGAGGAGGACTGGTTTTATTTGGAAAAAGAATGTACACTGATCATACTGTGAAACTAGGAATACCCTCTGACTATGTCTTGCACACATATTCAATCAGAAACCCTCTAGTTTTAAGAATCCTTGTTACTGAAAAACTTGCTAAATTAGGACTGGAAGAATTTAAAATTTATTTGCACAGCTTCAATGCCAAATCCATTTCACATTTCAATGTTGTAAAAAAGAACCTGCAGTTTTGCTTTACAGCAGTCTTCCAGTACCCAAAGGGGCCTACAGGAAGGCTAGAGAAGGACTTCTTACATTGGCATGTAGTGATAGAAAAAGCAGAATGTATTTCATCTGAAGAAGGGCAGGTTTAGATTGGATATTAGGAACAAATTCTTTACTGTGAGGGTGGTGAGGCACTGGAACAGGTTGCCCAAAGGGGCCGTGGACTCCGCATCTGGACTCCCCCTCTGGTGTTCAAGACCAGTTTGGATGGGGTCCTGAGCAAACTGGTCTAGTGGAAGGTATCCCTTCCCATGGCAGGGGATTGGAATGAGACAACCTCTAATGTCCCCTCCAACCCAAACAATTCTGTGATTCTATGACTTTCTGAAAAGACAATTAACAACAACATTATGTGGAAAGTAATCTGGATTTCAGACAGCTTCTCTTTGCATGTAGGATGAGATGTGTGCTGTAAGTGCTACATGAATACACCTCCATAAACAATAAATACAGAAATACTTGATTTATAAAATTTGAGAGTAGTTGCGATGCTAATTTCATCCAACACAAAGGCTGTGGCAAAGAGAAAGCAGCTGAAACAATTTAAGGACAGTAGCACAGACAAGCTGAACAATGTACTCTCAGTTACTAGAGCTCACAATGAAGCCAAACTACAAATGCTCTCTCTGGAAAGAATATTCAAAAGCTTGAAACTCAGTTTGAACCTTCACTTTCTTGTAAAACATCTCAGTCCACTGAAATAAGAATTCCTCACATTTTCCTGCTGTTTATCACATTACACATGTTGCTCAGTGATTGCTACCTGGGATGTGCTTAGTCACATTTTGATACATAGATGCTATTTAGTCATCTTGACTCAATTTTATAGTAAGGGAATAAAAAAGGCATCTCTGGAGCAAAGCTCACTTCATGCTAGATCAGGTAACTAAAATAGAGGCAAAGAAATCACGGCTAAAAGTTCCTATTTCTCTTCGCTAGCTATAAAAGAAGCCTAAGAACTCATTCAAATAGACATCTAAACCAGTATCAGGATTCCCATCTAAAATGGCTTGTATTCATTCCATCACCCTGTATCTGTCTCCTTCACCTAAAAAGAGCAATCACATGCACTCCCTATGACTCACTACGAAACCATCTTATGATGACTGAAAAAAATCAATGTCTTTGTTTATATTATGAGCTCCATTCCCTCCAAGAGGGGTAGTCAGTAAGGCTGAAAGGCAGTTGCACACAATTCCTATTACAAAACAGTCTGAAATATATTCACAAGAATAATGCTCTTCCCTGGCCATACTGGCATGCAGCAACAGATGGACAAAGAAGCAATCTGCAATGGAAACTGAGTAAAAAGATTCCTGCCCTCACAGAAAACTTCTTGGGGCTTGTGGAAGAGAAAAAAGTCTTTGAGTACCTTCCTCACAGAACAGGCTCTAACTCTACCGAGTTTCTGTATGTGACCACTCAGAATTACTTTCAAAACCATCTGTCTGCAGAGCGGCCTTTTTGTGGAATTTAAGAACAACATTTACACTGAGACAGGTGCTCTACGTCCAAAGTAAGAACTAGTAAGTAACTATAAACAAACACACATCACACCCTTCTCCAAAAAAGGTATAGCTAAGCCTTTGAGGCTTTTGCAAAGATGCTTACAGCATCTCTGATCCTCCTCACTGTTTGCAGGCCTTATCCACTGCTTTGGTGAGCTGCAGATACCACCTGATAGGTGCTGGGACAGCACTTTGCTGATTCCTCATTTTAGGAGAAAAAAAAAATGATTCTAAAAGCTGAAGAAACTACTGCAGGAGAAGAACTAGAAACAGCAGTTATAAAACAAAACAGACAAGAAAAACACAAGAGCCAGCCAGTCCTGCAGCTAGAGGTCTAAAATTTCATCATGCATGGCAAAATGCACAGTGCAGCCTCCAGAGTATGCAGCAAACAGCTCTGACTTCTTCAGGCTGTGAGGCACTTCACAGTGGTGCTGACCAAGGAGAGAACCTGCACAGGCCAAAGGAACGTGTATCAACATCATCTAACTGAACTTCGTAAAAATCTTAACTTTCATACTGAAGAATGGCCATGGATACTGAAACTGTTCTTGCTCAGGTAACTGTACCAAACACTTAGAAGTCATGCTGAACTTCAAGCTAAACATTGTACATTTATGACACATGAACCATTCCCTGACGAGTCAGAAGCCATGTGTGCTAAAAGGATCTGAGGCTCCAAGCTCAGGAATGCTTCTGCTTCAACCATGTTACGATCTTCTGTGATGATTAAGCAGTAATTTTCTTTTAGACTTCCTAATTTGGGATTCTGAATTTCAGAAATTATGTCACAAAGTTATTCTAGAAAGACAAATTAACACTTCCTGTTGCAGAGGAACCAGAGAACGCATGACCTTTTAAGACAAGATGTAGCTGCTTCATTATATATGAAACTATCCTGCAAAAATCTAGGATACTTCTTGTGCATACATGTGTAACAACAAATACACAGAAAATGCTTTGAATAAAAAATGCTAAAGGAATTTCTTGTGTTCCAAGAATACCATGCCAGTATTTTAAACCAACTGAACAACTATAAAACTCAATTCTAAGCAGCTTATCATAAACATAACAGAACGTCGTTGATCTGTTACCTAATAACACCAATATTGTAACTTTCAGTGAGTCTCTTAATCCACAGATAACATACATACCTGGCATGCCTGTAGCAAGACCCTGACCAAAAGCCAAAGCTGGATTTGCTGCTGCAGCTGCTGCAAGTGACTCTGCCTGCTGCCCCTGCTGCCCCTGATTGGGAGTAAGTGGGCGCTGAGTTGCTCCAGCACGCAGAACCTGGAAAAGGCCAATACAACACCCCTTCCTTAAAAGGTAAGGAAGAGATTCTATTACATGCTAAAAAAGGTCTACAACAGTTGTTTTGTGGATTTGATGCCTCTTAGCTCTGAATTTCATTTTGGGAATACTCCACCTTGTTGGTTTCAAGGATATATATACACAAAGAATGAAAGGTATACGCTATTTTGCTGACAAATGGGACTGTATCTGCCCTGCTCTGGACAGCAGAACTCATGTATGTTCCATCAATGGCAATGAGTATAAAGTAAGGAAGAAAATCTATAAGAGCAATACATTTATGATCTACATTATTTATTAACTGAACACCTGTCCTTCTCTGATAAACACATTTATTTACATTGTTTCCAGGCAATGGAATGATGTAAGTCTGAGTATTTCAGTGCTTGCAGTAACTTGTCTAAATAATTAACACTCCACCGCCAACAGTGCTGTAAATAATGCACCCAACTAAGTTTAAGAACTCAGATAACACTCCTCAGCCATGCAACACAGGCATATTTTATTATGTCCTGACAGCACATCTCCGGGAATCTGACTGAAAAGTAATCTAAATCCTTGCAACTGCTCTGTTCCTCTTGGTTAAAATCTTCTTTTTCAGGTCCAAAATGAGGGTGAAATATAATTCACAGCATATCCCCACAATGTATCTTATAGGTGATTTGCATAAATTGGATATTAATTTTACAGAGAAAACAAAAAGCCACTGGAGAGATGATAAACATTCAGTTATCGATGCAGTACACTGCTAAAAATAATCAGTAGGAGGAAAGATCCACCTGAATATAAAATCAGTGATGAAAACACTCTGGAATTTCGTGGTATCTCAGAGTCACTTCTTATATTAAACCTAGAAGAGTGGCACTGAAACTGACCATACTGCTGGTAAAAAAAAAAAAATTTAAATATTCATTCAAGCATAAGGTTATTATAAACTTTGGGGGTTTCCTCTGTGACAAAAGGCCATATAATAAGATCATATAATAATTTTTAAAACTCATCCAAAGTATCAATCGATAATTAGCATTTTAAAAAACTTACTTAAAGAAACAGAAATTTCAACAATTTCTTACACCAATTGCTTACTCTTGATTTGCCAAGACAAAAATAACGCACACCACATGGTGATGTTGCAATTTTGTCACAGGAAAATATGCAGGGCAAATTTCTCCCCATGAAGAAATAAAACTGAAAATTTTATTTTCCTACTTTTTAAAGAGACAGAAAAATATGCAACATTCAATTTCCCAGCTAATTTACCAAAAAAAGATCAATTTTTTTTCCAAGCTTAAAAGAAACAATACCCTCCTAAAATTACCAGAACATCTCTTTTCAACACCTTAAGTTAGTTTTCTAGATTGGTTTCTAATATTACATTAGTTTTTGAATACCTATACAGGAAGCGTTACTTAGACATACATGTAACAGGACAACAAGCTGAATTACAGGAACATTTTAAAATACTCCTTATTTTAAGAATTGGGACTGTAAAACAACCTGACTATTCCATATGCTGTAAGACAATGAAAATCAGTAATGTAAGAAAATTTTGAATATTCATTTATTACTTGTTACAGCATATCACCTGAGTTATGTAAAATTTTCTAGAAGCTGATCCTTCTATACTGCAAACGTCACAATGAGGCTTTAAAAGCACATCTGCTTTTGATGAGGAACGTACCGGCTGCTGTCCCTGTTGTGCCTGGGAAGCTGCTTGCTGATTTGCTGTAGTATTTGCTGCTGCAGCTTGCTGCTGAAATAAATTGGCTGGATACACCCCCCATGGAACACCATAATATTGAGGTGGAACCACAGCAGGACCTAAAACCAGAAGGCATCATTATTCCACCTATCGCAGCTAGGTAAAATACTGTTTGCAGCCTCCCTTATTGATCCATCTTCTAATATCAAAAGAGGAATCAGTTTTAAAAAGAATAAATTCCCACATTAGCTAAAATGACATGACTACAAACAGGTTAATTTAAAAAACTGACACCAAACCGTATCTTCTCTATGAAAAAATAAATACCCTTGTGAGACTCAGATAACAAAGAAAAAACTTAAATCATTCAGTGCTTGCATACCAAAGAACATTCAAGATTAGTTTTCATGGCTGGAAAAAAAGATCATTTCAGAACATCACAGAATGAACAAAATTCACACTCCTGACAGTGATACATTGTGACTTTGATCATCTGTGATTCCTCCTTTCTGTATGCTGCCTTTGCTTACAAACAATTACTGCACTGCCTGCCCTGCACACCGCACCATGTTCTTCAGGGTGGGCAAGCTAAACTCCTCCAGTCTCTCGATAAAGAACCCATAGAAGAATAATCTCTCTGTATCATGGCATTGCACACAAAATGCATGATGTATACATATATCTTACTTTTTTCTACTATCTTCCCTATGAAACCACCAACTGGAAATCCAGGGGTGTTTTTTCCCCATGTTATGCTCAAATCTGAGCACTAGTTAGGACTCGAATATGCAGCAATGTTGTTTCACAGGGGTAGCTATTAACTCATTAAGGTATTTTCCTGTGCTTGGGGTGTATCTCTTGTCTGGGCCTTTTAGCATGCTGGACATTGTCTTTCTTCTCATGCCCACCGGGAATGAGAAAATCTGGAATTAGAAAATTAATGCACTAAATAAAAACATACAAGGAAAGGTCAGCTGTCTCATCTTGTGCAAAGAATACATACTACTAACATCAGATGAAACCTCATTAAGGATAACTGGTTTTAGAACAGAAAAATCTTCTAATTGTTGCATATAAAAGTCCAGTGGAAACTCAGAATCCATATATAACAAACCGAAACCCTTTCTATTTTAGTGCAAATTTTCAAAATGGCAGTATTAGTTTTCCTGCAAGTCTCTCCTTCCTTGCGACATATTTGCAGAGAATAAACAGGATGGACTATTTTCTCTTTTCGTTTAGTAAAATTCTCAAGATAGACATGAGGAAGTGTTCAGTTACCTGCTAGGGTAGCTGCTGCAGCTAATCCAGCTGCGGTGTATGGGTCAGTACCTGGAGGAGCAGCACTGATAATGTATGGGTTTGGCACAAAAGCAGCTGGGGCCAAGCCTGCGGAGAACACGCCTGCTGCAGTGATAAACAGAGTCATTACAGCTCACATTCTTAGTAAGCACCATCATATTCAAACCAAACAAATCACAAAGCACATCTGTTAAAATCAGAACTGCTTGTACTCTGGGAGCTTCTAAGAGCAGGTACACTACAGAAATCAACACTTCTATGTCTTCTCAACTGTCCTCTCTTACTAATCCCAAAGCCTAACAACTTTGTTTTGCTGGATCTACAGACTCCAAGGAGATTTATCTCATATGTATCTACCTACCCTTATATAGAAGGGATTATTCCAAGTGGAATTTATTTTGCCCAGCTCTAACTATCTAAAAGTTACACTGGTCTTGCAATGGCATCTGTATCAGACAAATCATCTAGTGTCTTAAATGAATCAGCCCAAAAAATAAACCACCTGCTAGAGATACAAATCTCTCTTCACTGATAATTAGCAAAAAAACTAACCAGAGATTTTAAATCAAGACACCTGGCTTTTAAACAGCCAGCTGTGAGATGCTAATCTCACTTTCAAGATTCCCAATTTGATGTAAGGATAGTAATGAAAGGCAACACCTGAAGAAACTCAGTCAAACAAAGCATCACTACCCAGAGCTTCCCCTGTCAATCAGGCTCACATTTTCTCCAACACCAAGGCTGCAACTGCTGCAGCAAACACAGAATATCAAACTATGATCCTTCTTCCAAATATTTCTCTTTAACTTTCTATTAATATGCATATCAGAAGAGGCTGCATTTGAAAGGGGATGAAGACTCAGCTGACTGCTCAGTCAGCACTTCACACAAAGTAGGGGCTTCTTTGTAGCTTACAAGTCAAAGACAGGACTTGTGGACTCACACAAGCATCTCAATCTGCTTCCAGCTCTCAGACTATTAGTCAGCTACGGAACACTGAAGAGTTGACAGTGCTCAACTCCAGCTATAGGTGCTGATCCCTGTCTGAACAGACCTCACAATCTAAACAAGCTGGTGGGAAAACTAAACTGTCACCCTGTCACAGGAGAACATGGACACATTCTGTTAGAGATGCTGCTTCCTACTTCTACCTGCCCTTCTGATCCCGAGTACCCTTCTCATGCAGAGGAAGAAATTTGTACACACACCTCAACAGCCCAGAGGAGACTGTCAGAATCCAAGGACCTCCCTTGCTTAAACAAGGAATTGCTACCCTGTGCATCCCAACCTCCCTCAACCCTGAACACTGACAGCTTCCCCACAGTGGAAGATAAAACTGTTACCACTGAAATAAAGCCTCCTTGTTGAGCTGCCAGCACACTAAGAACTTTATGCATTTAACTAATTCACTGAATTAAAGAGACAGAAAAAACCTGCCTACAAAAGAATTAACTCCATCACAAAGGTACCTGCAAGAAGAAAGAGCTATCTGTTTTAAAAGTGCCATTAACAAGGAAGAATGACTTGGCACAACAATATGATTCCAAATTTCTCCTATACAATAGTTTTAACTTGATTGTTAAAAACACTAAACTGCAACAGAATCTTAGAATCGCATGTTTTTGGTTTTTAGTAAGTAAAGCTAGTGTCTCTATCACTGCTTGTAGCACTGAAGTTGGTTTTTTATTTTTCCTCACATCAAAATTCAACCACTGTGCTACACAGGCAAATGTAAATTTTACTTCTTTGTATACAACTGTTCAAAGTAGGACAAAATCTAGACAGCAGTAAACTCCAAGGACAGGACGGTTTCACACACTCATTCTGAGCAGTTTTCATGAGAACTGCTAAAATGGGCCAAGTGATCAGTATCTATTTGGATTAGAACACTGCGGGTAAAACTGAAAGGGTTCTATCAAAGCAACACACCCAGTGTTGCCAGGGACAGTTGCTGTACTTTACAAAAACCTCACCTATGTGTGGCTGCTGAGCTGCTGCCAGTGCATATTGCTGCTGCTGGGCTGCTGTCAACTGTTGAACAGTCAGAGCATTAGTCCTCTGGAAAAGCTGTTGGAAAAGAAAAAAAGACGCATTTCAGTTTTCAAAAGTCAGGGATGTAACAGACTGGGCTTTACTTACAAAAGAAAGATTTCAAACCAAGATTCTATCCTAATATATTACTAAACTAGACAATTATGCATCAGTATTCTAGATTAATTATACATTTATTTGCCTTCGACTAAGTCACAGACAAAACAAACTTAAATGCGTTATATATTTAAATGACATTATCAGCAGAGGATAATGAACAACTTGAAGGATCAATGTGCCATGTTTTCAAGTCCATTACTAACCTGCTGCTGAGAATTGTAGTCAAAAAGTCCTACAGTAGCTCCTGAAGAGTCCATTTGTACCTGATTGCCAGGATAGTCAAACTGTAGAGAATCAAGACCAACTTGTTCCATGGCATCTAGATTCTGATTTTCAGGATTTGAAAATTCTTCTACCAGAGGCTTGTGAGCTGTAGCGTTTGGAAGTGGACCTAATCCTTCTGTGGTGTTGGGATTGGGGCCCAAGCGTTCAGCTACTTCTGTAGGGGAGGCTTGTCGACTTCCAGGGGTACGACTGTTTGGAAGAAATTCAAGACAGACTCTTCAGACTTAAATAAAGCTGTCCATGACAGAGCACAGCATTTCTATTCTACAAGCACCTCTGAACTCAAGAGACTTTACAAAGGGAAGTGACAGACTAATTTTAACAATTTCAACCAGCATGCATTGATGGCTCAACATAAAGGACACTTCATTTCAAAGCATAATTTTATCCATTTAAAAAAAAATCTAAGACTATACAGCTCTTCAAATCACTGTGAGAAAAACAAACTAATCTTCAGGCTGTTTTGAGTCAAATGGAGTGCACTGTGGTCATCTTGTAAATTTTGGGATAGCTCTTTATTGTATTTTAGGAGTGACAGAATTATTAGAAAATGTATTGAAGAGAAATTAAAGCACAAAATAAAATGGAAATGGATAAGTGCATCTCATGCCAAAGGAGAGAAGGACACAGTAAAATTTCAACTGGAAAAGACAAACATACAATATAGCAAGTATTTTTCACATCTGAAAAGCAAGCAATGTATTTTCTACTTTAAATAAAATGAACTAGTAACTGCCTCATTTAGCATTTGACCAAAAAATTTCATTTCCTACACAACTCCTTTAATAGACTACACTACAATGATGATCGGTCAGGGGGAAAAAAGGTGTTCTTAATATAATCCTGAATAATATATAAAATATTATATATTTATATATAAAAGCTGAATTGCTCTCTCATCTCCACTTGCTGTATTAACCACAACCCCACCGACTACAGGGGAATTTCTGTGCACCTATATATGCCAACAGGCAAACACATGAAGTGAGATGTCAACAGATTCACATCCTAAAGAGATTCCAACCCTGTGTTTGGTTAGATTCAGAGTACCTTAATTGGGAGTGCTACCCTGCCTTCTGTGTCAGGCCACAAGTTGTTTACACTACCAATTTTTACTGGCAAAAATCTAAGTCAACTACCGGGAGAAAGTTGTGTGAGAGAATCTATGATCCCTTAACAACATTACTGTGTTGGCAGATGATTATATATTGTGTTTCAGGAAACTTACAACTTCTAGTTAAGTTTGCTTTATTTGTGAAAACTGGGCTTAAATACAAAACACCACCTTGCAGGAAGAACCTACATTTATTCCAGCAGTACAGTGCCAGACTAGTTTGGTGCACTGCTAATTCTAGGACTGAGGCACAGTCTCAGTAGTACCTGCTCTCCTTCCTCTTCTGGGCCCCAAAGCTGAAGTATCTGCTCCTCACTGAAGCACAAGACTAATGAAAAGACATCTACTAGTACTTATGCACTTGTTGATACCAACACTGAGGTCTGTATAGCTAGAAATCAGCCTCTTAGTGAGTTTATTGCAACAACATTGTATGATTTACTACTTTGGACAAAGTACTTCAAAGATAAAGTAGGTACACTAGTTTTTTTAAAGTAACAACCAATCCCATGGTAACTGTCTATAACATACTGGCTACCATCTAACTACCCTAGCAACCAACCATGTCTTGCTCAATGTACAAAACTTAAGTTTGAAGCCATTTAATATTCCCTATTCTTCCCAAGTGAAATACAGCATCAACAAAGTGAAGAACAAAAGGAAGAAAGGCAGTTATTTCAGTACATAATTTAGTTTAAAAAACCTGCAAGTACAATAAAATACAAGGAGGAGGACAGGACAAAGTTTATTTGTTAATACTTATGTTTACCCTAATATAGGTTACTCCTTACACAGGTGCTGTTCTGTTGCTATAGTTAAAGTTGTGTCAATACTTCAATTATAAACCTCTGTTTGGAGGGCTTTATACCACCACCTTACAAGGCCCATTTCAATTAGATGGCCTTACTGCTTTTTGAGAGGTTTACTGGCTTTGGATGCTTTTTTGCACTTGCATATCTTTTAATAATTTCTCTCTTTAAATAATGCAGAAGGTACTTTGCAAGCAACTATTTCAAAACTGAAAGAGATTCTGGTAAAGAAAAGCAGGACAAAATTTATTCTGCGTTTTCTATGTGTAACATTGAAGTTTACCGTGCGTATTGCACATGCATCCGCAAGGAGCTAATGGGAGCTCTCTAATATGCTTTATACAATATTATTTTCAATAATATATCTTGAAAAATAGACTTTAATAATCCCTTCTTAGGTTCAAGTAAATAGTTTTTTTTAAGGGTAGGAAATACTTACATATGGGATTCAAATATTCATTTGAATATACTTGTTCAGTAATGAACTAATGAAACCACAACAGTTCGGTCATGTTCATCACATTAATACAAATTTACAAGCAGCACTCTAGTTCTCTGTCTTGACAGCTCTTCTGTATGACAGTTACAAATGCATCACAGTCATTCAAAAAAGAAAGACTAGTCCTTAAAAAACACCAAATTTAAAATGCAGCTTAGTATTAAAAAACCAGACCAGCTATGCTGTCCTATAGGAGTTCACCATTCAAAAGCTTGAACTTGGTCCTACTTTTTTTCCCTATGAAAACAACCAAACCACAACACCATTCTATACTGAGAATAGGTGACATTTAACTATATGAATAGGGAAATACATTGTTCTATAAAGACTTTTGTGGGGGGCAATAATTAGTTGTGTTAGGCTGTGGTATCCACTAGCAAAATCAGAAGTAAAGTTAAAATTCTGTAGGACTTATAACAATCAGATGCAAAAGAGTATTAAAAAGAAGCAGAGAGAGAGAGGAATTTAGTTTGACATTAAAAGGGTTAAAGTTTTGATCCCTCTTTAATTCACCACATTTGAAAGGGTACCCATTTAGTAACTACTGTATTAAGATGAATTCGTCTCATGAGAAGTGACACACACATTAATGACATCCTAAGAAACATGTGGCACGGTGGGAAAGGGAGGACTTGAGGCAGGAATAATCAGTCTGCAGCTGGGTAATGTTTAAAGCTGACACACAAACCAGAACTGTAATAATGCCCTTCAGAGACATGCTTGTCTTCTTGAGAAACAGTTAAAAGCTTACTTAAAATCTTTGCAATCGGCATCCATTCCATTTGGCAAACCTCTGCCATTTATTTTAGTAACATCCTCATCATCTCCTTGTTTAAGATCTCTGTTTTTGTCCTCCTCAAATGGAGAAGCCTTGCCTTTCTGATCTCCTTTCTCAGGTCCATCTGTTTCAGCATCTCTAGTGCCCTGAGGAAAAAGAATCTGTTTGATTCTGAATATTGAACAGAACACAATAGGAGCACCACAAGGTGACCTAATTCTACACTACAGTGCACGTAAACAATACAAACAGTTTGTTGTCAATGAAATTGCATTTGGTGGGTAACTTGGTCATCAAGTTTCAACCACATGCAATTAATAACTGCCAAAATGTGAAAAGGAATGCCAAGATTTATAATGGAAGAGCTAACTCAACCTTAACTATAGCGGTGCTGTTAAAGCAGTAACACTTTTGAATTAGGTAAGCTTTATTTTATACAATTAAAACATCTAGGCACAAAACAAACCCGCAGGAAAACACAGAATAGGAAGATCTAGGATAATGCACATTTTAAATTAAGCTATTTGCAATTTTTTTCCTACCTTTAAAAAAAGGCGTTAGGAAAGTACTTTAAGACAGCTATTTAGTCAAGATTCCCAAACCACTTCCCTCTTCTGCCCCCTCCAACCAAGGAAGACAGACAGATAGCAACTACACACTTCCTTCTAAAGAAAAGAGTTAAAAGGAAAATGGACAAACAGTAGAAAATATAACTGTGAGACAGAAAGACCATAGCAGGTAACTAGGCAAGCTTAACACACTGCATTACTTACAAAAGCTCCTTTCCTAAACCGGGAATCCAATTTATCAGCTGGAGAGGAACTTAACACATATTCTACCATGCTCACTCCAAGGCCACCACTTTCTGATCGTGGAGACAATACAGCATTTACTTCACTGTTTCCATGAAAACCCTGTCCAGGCTTTCTCTGTACCATAATAGGTTGGGACATAGAATGGTCTGTTAAAAACAAATAAATAAATAAAACTATTGTATTTTTTAAAATACAACTTGTAATGTTTTTGAATTTCATTACAGCAGCAATATTAAACAAGACCAAAATTAAATGAAATAAAAAATTCCAAATCACAATTTCAAAAAGTGTTATTGACACACAATCACCAGTGCAGTAGACATTTTCACAATTAAAATTAACAGATAATAGAATTCAATGCACAATTACATTTTTCAATATCCATTTGCTTTGACATAACATTCAGTGATCATGGCTGAATTTCCAATACATATACAGAAATGACTTACGAGGAGTTCCCCATGCAGTCTCTCTCCACTCGTCACCAAGGAATATCCCTTTTTGTCCATCTTTTGCTGAATCATCAGGTTCCCAAAACTTTTTGGCAGGTAAAAGCTGTTAAAAAGAGAAAAGGCTTTTATTCAAATATTCTTATAAAAGGGCAAAAATAGCAATAGTATGAAGAGGTAATTTATTTTGGATCATAGAATAGTTTGGGTTGGAAGGAACCATAAAGATCACCTAATTCCAACCCCACTAGCATGGGCAGGGATGCCACCCACTAGATCAGGTTACTCAGTGCTCCATCCAACGTGGCCTTTAACACTCCCAGGGATGGGGCAGACACAGATTCTCTAGGCACTCTGTGCCAGTGCCTCACCACTCTCAGAGTAAAGAATTTCTTCCTAACATCTAACCAAAACCTCTTTCAGTTTAAAACCACTTCCCCCCATCCTATCACTATCTGCCCTTGTGAAAAGTCCCTCTCCAGCTCTCTTGTATCCCTTCAGGTACTGGAAGGTGCTATAAGATCCCCCAGGGCCTTCTCTTCCCCAAGCTGAACAACCCCAGCTCTCCCAGCCTGTCTCCACAGCACAGGTCTTCCAGCCCTCTCATCACCTTTATGGCCTACTCTGGACCTGCTCTAACAGGTCATAGAATCATTGAATTTAGAGGTTGGAAGGGACCTTACAGACCATCTATTCCTAACCCTCCCTGCCATGGGCAGGAACACTTCCTCACTAGATCTGGTTGCTCAAGGCCTCATTCAGCCTGGTCTTGAACACCACTAGGGTTGGGGCAGCCACCATGTCCCTGGACAACAGGGGTCGATGCCCTTCTTGTGCTGAGGACCCCACAGCTGGGTGTAGCACTCCAGGTGGGATATCACTAGGGCAAAGCAGAAGGGCAGAATCATCTCCCTCAACCTGCTGGTTTCACTTCTTGGGAAGCAGCTGTCTCTGGGCTGCAAGACTGCACTGATACCAAAGAGCTTTCAAGACAGCAGCTTTCAATGCATTGCCAAAGAATAATTGTAACACTTGAAATTGCTCAAACCCCAACAAGACTGAGCTTCTGAAGTTACGAGGGGAAAAATAAAGAATACAGAAGCAGCTATGAAAAAACCAAATCAAATCATTCCCTGTGTTAAATCAAGTCAATGCTCTCAGAAGCTGTAATTTACAGTGCTTTCTTTTCACACTGGCTCAAAAGTTTGGCCATTAACTAATACTGTAATGATAACCAGAAACAGCAGCAGTTCAGTATGAAGTTCTCTTCACTCAGAAATGCATCACATTCCACATTTTAGAAAGTGACTAACATGCACAGTAGCAAGTCAGCTCCCTTAGAGCATAAGGCTCTGCTGGTTACAAATTTGTGACATTCAGACATGAAGTTCCACACACCAACAATGTCATTTTGCTGTATGTTTTTTTTCATTCCTACTTCTAAAGCAGAAAGTTTCACATTACATCAGTGACACTTCTTGTACTGTCTTCAAGGACAGGACAACTTAGTGTGACATGACAGAAGCAGTGCACAAACAAGAATACCTCAATTGTCAGCATCCTTTTCACTTCCATTTTACTTTATTCCTCTAACTCTTCCCATCAGTAGCAGGACAGATGCCAAACTCTACATACCACATTTTCTCGTGAATATATAATTAAAAACCTGTACTCTCAGACTATATTACATACTTTACCAGGTCCATCAACTGAAACTACAATGAAAACGACTTGCAAAAAATACAGGGAAGAGCTCTGAAGAAAGCAGCATAATCCATCAGATTCTGCTTAATGTTACATTGAATTTAGAATTTCAAACTTTGTGAAATCAGGAAAAAAACCCCAAATGTAATCTGATGAAGTTGTTTGCAATAATGAGTACATTCTGGAAATTCTGAACTTCACAGCTGGTTAGTATGAGTCTTGATGAAACTAGTAACAGGAATGGTTTTAGATATTTCTTAATTTAACATTGATAGAGCTTGTGAAAACTGCTTGAAGAGGAGAAGGCTAAGATTGCCATTAGCAGGCCACAGTATTAACACTGCAACAGATGTGACAAGAGCTCCTCTGGAGTACTCAGAGATTGCTGTTTTTCTGGGCTGCCCAGAGCTCTTAACAGAAACAAAGCACTTTGAGTACAGCTAACCTACTCAAATCCTTGGGCTCCTTACAGAAGTTCATTAACACTGAAGGATTCAGGCTGGAGGCTGATAAAGAGCCAAAGCTCAACAAAACTGCAGGAGAGTACTATGCTTGCAAGAGTGCTATACCATCATGTCCTGATCTGACAGAGATCTCACTCTCAGTACATTACAGAATCATCACCTGGTGTCAACCAAACATACTCTGGTAACACCAAGACATTAAGTTTGCCCCAAGTTTAAGGGAGGAATTTAGACACTGGAGGACATAAATGGAATCTTACAACTGCATTTCAACTAAAACCCAAAGATTACAAAATCCAGATCAGCCTATGCAATCTACTCATCCCTTTTAGCTTTATATTTGTAACAAGTTTGCAGTACTAAACTTTCATTTTGTAGAATAATGGTAGAACAGAAACCGTTTCATGGTGTCTATGAAACCTTGGCTTTGGGAATCACATTTTGTTTTAAATGCAATCTAAGGCAATTTCCAATATGTGTCCAGCTGAGATGAGAGCGATGTAACACAGAAGTGAAGGTGTCACAAACTAACACAATCTTGTCAGAATGAAACAGATCTAGTAATATCCTGAGTGCCATAAAATGAGAATTACCTAAGTATGCTTACCCTGAAATTAGTTAATTCCACTATCAGTCAACTGTTCAGACAGCTCAATAAGAACAACAAGCAGAGCATACTGCAATACTGGTTTTGATTTCAAAACTCATTCACAGGATTTCTATCAGAGGAAAAACTGTCCACCAGTAGAAATCAGCAATAACCCTCAATGCAAAAGTAGAGGTTGTTTTGGAGGTACTTTGTTGTTTTTTGTGAGGGTTTTTATAGGTTTGTTTTGCTTTATTCTTTTTGTGTTTGCATTCTTTCTTTTTTTTCAACTACTTATTCTCAAATTCCAGACAGCTATATTCAGTTGCCTGCAGTCTTCATGTACTCTGTACAATGAATATAGAGTATCTTTGCCACAAAACATAATGCATCATCCACACCTCAAGTGGCTAAATTTAAACTACTGAAGATTAAATTTTTTACGCCAGAAATGAATGCATTGCTCCTAAAATGCAATGTGTGTGCTTTGTCCCTGTGAGTTAATATAAGAATACACATTACCAAAAGAAAACTTAGTTTTACATTCTGTTTGGCACCAAGTTTTATGTATGCCTGTATTAGGTCACACTAAAAATCCCAAAACCCACTATGTTGGCCCTGAAATAGCAAACATATGCCCAGAGAAATAGCACCATGTGCCCTTATTTCTTCAGAATATTAAGATGACCTTAAGGGTCATGATAGATTTTGGGAGCTGGAGCCAGAAGCATCATCTGTGTATAGCCACTCTAACAGCTAAAATTTTAGGAGACATTTAGAGAAAGATGTCTGCAATACAGCAAATCTCTTGCTAATAATACTTTAGTCTGTTTCTTTACAGAATAAATTAAAGAACTGAGGGACAGAAACAGACCAAGGAAATTGTACATCTGGCTCATGTTACGTGGTCCTATTCCTGATACTGATTGTTACCAGGCTCCATCTGAATGTAGTTCAGATCAGTAACTTAACAGAAGGATTTCCAGTATACATTGTTTCCAAAATGCATGATGGCACAATGAAAACAGATTTCATACTATATTCCTTTACATTACCACATGCAAGAGACACTTGCTTCGCAGACAGTCCTGATTTTAGCAATTATTTGAAAAGTAAGACTTCAGTCTCCTAATGCCAAGCACTGATACCCCATGGGGAAAAAAATAAATCAAGGAGGAGTAGAATTATGATCAAGAAATTAATTTCAGTTCAGAGAAAAATCTATGCAGACAGTGAAAATGCGGAAGAGAACTGCCCAACAGATAGAAGCAGTTCACTGGACATGACCTCTCTTTCAGACCTTTCAAAGCAGATTGAGGGCAGCACGTAAGAATGTACAACCACCAATTCTACCTTACAGGGTGTGTATATATATATATATATATAAAAGGGCATTTCCTTCAATATTTCAGAAGGTTATAATCAAAAAGAAGATTAAACCATTCAGGGAATCTAACCCAGAACTCCTTTCCTGCTCTGCAGTATGTCAGAAAATTACTTAGTCAACCTAACTATGTGAACCTGTGTTACTTCAAGATATCTCCAAGACATCACTGAAACAAAAGACAAAATAACTTGGTAAGCACAGGGTCACAATACAGCATCAATTCCTGATACTGCAGTACTGTACCAGCACCATGACTTTGGGGGTGGGGGGAGAGAGGTTTGTTGTGCCTTTTTTTAACGCAGTATCTTTACAGATTCACAGAACACCATTAAAATCAATAGAAACATTATCATGCAGAAATACACCCTGCAGGCAGAAATAACCTAAACCAAAGATCTGTATAAACTGCCATATATACCTCAATTCAATTCCAAGGTATTTGTGGCATCTTCCACTTTCACTGCATCTTTTGGAGTACTTCGTGGGTGGCAAAACACCGCTAAGAATTTTACCCATCCACTCCCCTGGTTCTATCACAGATACCTTACTAACACCTTTACCTCTCAAAAGGAGTTTTAAGAGCTGGGAGGGTAAGGGCAGGCAGTGTATCCAGTGTGGCTACTCAGTATTTTAAACAACAGGGCTTCACCTGTTACTGCTTTTTCAAACAAGAGATGGTTCAAAAAAAGCCAACATGGACCCTGGATGAAGCAAAAACTGCTGAAAAGCCAAGTGATTGTTTAAATGCTTCATTAAAGTAAAAATGGTCATGCATCAGCCCAGAAACATTCGACAACTAAAACATGACATTTGTTTTTCATCAAGTTATGGTTTCCATAAAGATCACAGTACCATAATTATTTTAAGAAAGTTAAGTTTAAGTATTGTCACTGGTTCAATTATCCACTAATTTAGGTAAATATCCAGCAAGACAAAAGGATTAGTATTTGAAATCTTAGTTCAACATGAATTTATATCATTACCATGTCCTGTTGGGACAAGTAACCCTAACGCATGTCAACTACTTTTTAAACAGTTCGGGGAATTCCTTCAGAAGTAGTCAAGTCATCCTCCATGACCTGAAAATTCTACCCCAAACTCCAAAGTACACTGACTTAAAAAACCCCAAATCAAATAAGTAAAAAAAAAAAAATTTCATTGCCTCTAGCTGAATTACTTACTAGCACTCTTCACCCTGCTTAAAATAGTCTTTTTAGGAGTAACTACCAGCTAAAAATTAGTAAATTACCACAAGATTCTGCTGGGTATGACAATTCACTTTTTCTGGAGCCAAACCTTTTTTCAGATTGGTCTCCTTGGTTTCAGGAGTAACAAGCAATTGTTTCAGTAACTTAGATAAGGTGACACTGAAAAAATGCCTCATTTCATAGAACTGCACACACTAAAAAAATTTTCCTGTCACTTCCCTAAGAGCATCAGTCATTTAACAAGACTGACACAGTAACAGCAGATCCAGTCAACAACCATCCCAGTGTTCCTGCAAAGTACTTAGTTTCTCTTCACCTTAGAACAAAAACCTTCGGTTGCCTGAAAAATCAACTGGGTCTTAAGAGAAGTTCTTTACTGCATGCTGTATTATTTAGACTTCTGAAATTGAATCAACATTTCCAAACCACCAACTGGATTTTCAGCCCTCAATAATTACCTCTCCCATTCCCCGAGATTCTAGGGCAAGAGCTTGAAACTCATGATTCATCTCATCCACAGATCGAACCTGCAGAGGGAAAACCAAAGGAAAAATCCATTAGCCAAATATCTTTTCAAAAGTTCAGTTCTTAATACACCACAAGATTTGTGACAACTGAAAACACATGCAAAATGTGCTGCACAATTTAGGCTGAACATGAGTTTAGATTTCGTGAACAGATACAGTTAGTGACCAATTTAATGAACCTTGTTAATATAATAATATGCAAGAAATTCCAAGAGACTTAATGTCCATATATCCGGATGGATATTGCTCACTATGGAAACAGTCACCAACACGACATTTCCAAGAAATGCAAAAAAATAAAAAGGTGAAATGAAAGATTTGGCCATACAATATCCTTTGGAAAGGAGATGAGCTGTTGCAGTGTTACTGAGTACACCTGGCAGCAAACAAACAAGAGCTCACAAGGCAGGTCACAAAACCTACTAGCCATGTGTGGCTTTTAAAATATAGTAACTGACTGCATTACCACCATTTCTAGTGCTTTCTTCCAGGAAACAGCACTTATCTTTCTCTGTGTGTTGTCTTTTTTTGGTTTGTTGTAAATACGAAAGGTATATGACTAAAGTAAGAGCTGCTGCTGCAACCAACCACCTCCTTTTCCACAGCACACAGACACAATGCACTGGGCGCATTCTTTCCTATGAAAATGGTTCCCACGAGGAATTTTCTGAGCCATGACAAACTCAGAAAAACAAATCAGAAAGGGAAACTCAGAGCTGTTTCCCCCTCTTCCCTTCTTCCTCAATAGTGAGATGCAGCAGGTAAAGTAATTCTAGTTAAAAGTAAAATTAACATTTTCCTCCCAATACCAGTCTCTCCCAAGGAGTTACTTTCACCAGCAAACCCATCTGTTTACACCAACCAATACACCAAAATGAAGTTACTCCATACAGCTGATAACACATTAAGAACACTTATCAAAATACTCAGATACTAGGCACATAAACAAAACTTGTGCTTTCACTATTCTGGCACAAACAACTCTTTCTTGGCATTGGAAAAGTGCCAATTTTCTGTCAATAAATGCTCTAGACTCAAAATTTTACTCCCAAAATATTGTTATGGTCTCATATCATTCTATGCCATTAACTTCTGAGGTTGAGTGGGCTCAGTGCTTTCGATAAAGAAATTTCACAATTTGAATAAATATTCCCTCAAAAAGAACAGTATTGCAGTTAAGACGGATTCTGAAACCACTTCTCAAAAATTTCCATGAGCTACTGAAGAGCAAATTTAGTTCCGGAGTGAATTAGAGTGGGGGTGGGCACACCAGCACAGTGACCTTTCTTCTAGTAACACTGAAAGCAGGTTTTCACATACCCTTAAAAAGCTAGACATTTTTCTTCTAATTAAAAAATAGGTGTATGTTTTATGCAAAACTTTTATTAGCTCCAAGGGATAATCAAATATTTGTGCATGCACAAAGGTAACAGTAGAGGAACATTTACTTAGAAAGAAAAATCTGAAATTCAAATTTTGAAGACTTCTGAATTTTACTATTAGTTTATGAAAACAATCTCTTCTACAGATAACAGAGATTCAATTATCTTACCTAAGCCACTGCCCATGCTGAGGTCATGCACTTTAGTTTCAATTAAAATTGAATAGTAAATTAGGTACTTCTGTCTCAAAAAGTAGTTTTGGTCTATCTATCTCTAAACAAAATTTGCAGGTAAAGCTTGCCAAACGATACTTACCATAAACACTACTCAAACTACTGTTAAAGACAACCAAGCTTGAAAGATGCTCAAGTTTTTCAGTTGTGGTGGTTTTTTGAATTGGTTGGTTGGGGGCTTTTGTTGTTTGCTTGCTTTGTTTTGGGAGGTTTGTTGGTTTTGCTTTAATTTTTGGTAGTGGTGGTTATTTATTAGGAGTTCCTTATGCTGCAAGACCTAATACTAATGCTTATTTTCCACAACTTAGCAAAGTCCAAAAACATGGCCACCCTCCCTTCCAAGTCCCTAAGTAAAGACAATCCAAGAATCAAGGTAACAGCATAGATACTTCCTTTTTTTCCTGAGCAGTTCAGAGATGACTCTAAGAAAATGAGGTCTTCTGAAACTGCAAATAGATATTAGTATACTGAACATACGTTTTGCTCACTGACCCCTATCTTACAAACATGAAATTTAAGTTAGTGTTATCTATTGCTACCAGCAGCAAGAGGAATAAGTCCTTTTAGTGTAGCAGAGAGGCTGTACACACTTCTGTTCCCATCAAAAACAACAGCCTACAAAATCCTGTCCCATATCACAAATACATGTTTCGAAAATCGTTTACAGACTGGAGGAAACACAGGTGGTAACAGTACCTTCAGATCTGCTCTCCTCAACACTAGCCCTATCGCAGCAACAGCAGAAAATATCCTGACTCTCCCTCTCTGTGAAGTACTGTGTACAGTTCTGGTGAGCCCAACAGGAGGAGGACATGGAACTGTTGGAGCAAGTCCAGAGGAGGCTATGAAGTTGGTAAGAGGACTGGAGCATCTCCCCTATGAAGACAGGCTGAGAGAGTTGGGGCTGTTCAGCCTGGAGAAGAGATGGTTGTGTGGAGACCTCACAGCAACCTTCCAGTACCTGAAAGGGGCCTACAGTCGCCCTCCTAGAGCTGGAGAGGGAAGCTTTGTTAGGAACTGCAGTGACAGGACAAGGAATAATGGGTACAAATTGAAAGAGGGGAAATTTAAATTAGATATTAGGAAGAAGCTTTTTCCTGGGAGGGTGCTGAGACCCTGGAACAGATTGCCCAGGAAGGCTGTGGATGCCCCAACCCTGGCAGTGTTCAAAGCCAGGTTGGATAAGCCTCTGAGTAACCTGGTCTAGCCCAGGGCAGGGGGGTTGGTTGGGACTAGACAATCTTCAAGGTCCATTCCAACCCCTTAACATTCTACGACACCAAGCTGGATCTGCTACATATAAAGACATGCCCTCTGCCCAAAGGAGAAACTTTGGTTGAGATTATCTGTACTACCAGGGAGTTTTATTTAGCTAATCCAATACCAACATTCACCTAATTCATATGTTCCAGAAATAACATCTTAATATATACTTTTTCTAACTCAAATACAGAATATTTCCCTATTTTTATTCATGCCCTGTCATCTGGAATAATTCATAAATCAAGAAGAGGCCTATGGAACATACTGCTCAACATTTAGCATTTTTTGTCTGATTGCATATTTGTTCTTGGTTGGTTTTTTCCCTCCCCCACAACCACTCTGAAGACTCCTCTCTGTCCATCTACCACCTACCGGCTTTGAGGCTAGTTGCTGCAAGTAAACTTACTTTTCAGGAGCTGAACCTAATAACCCTTTCCAACTCAAGAGAAGCTGGCAATGGTTTCAAACTTCTGATACACATCAGATCATTGCACAGGGTCCCCAAATTATGCACAAAAGGATACTACACACCACAACTGTCTCTAGGTATAACAATTCCTCAGGCACTGCTGCTAAAGAGATATAATTGCTGAAGTGTATCTATGAACTCCCCCCAACAGCTTTTACCACTCCCCTTGAATGAAGCTGGTAATCATTAGTACAAGGTTTTATTCAGATGTTTTCCCCCTTCTTTTTCTGTGCTTGGAAATTTCACTGATCACCCAGTGGAACTGGCTAAAACTCCACAGCAGTGAGCCCACCACGTGTGACACTGTAAAAGCAACAAGGACACCCTGGTGTGGAGCGAGGTGAGGTAGCAGTACCTGCTTGGTGGTGGCTGTATGATAAACAAGTAACATGAAACCATGTCCTCATGTAACTCAGGAAGGAATTCAGGAGGCACTCTTGACTAGATAGTCATCTAGGATTACCACAAGAAATACTGCTTACAGTAGTACCCATTTCTAGGATACAGGCATCCAGGTCTAGGGACTAGCAATCTCTCCAATAACCCTGAATCCTGTCAGAAATAAGCTTGTAACCATTTTCTTGCAAAAGCAAAGAACAGCCCCTTCCTTGAAAAAAGTCTAGGGAAAATAATAACAAAACAAAAATCAAACAAAACCCAAAGCAAATAAACAAAAATCAGCACAGGAAAAAAAAGATATTACTTCATTTCATACATCAAACGTGGTGAGAACTGATGACCAGAAAGCAGGAAAACCACTTTTTCTGCATTAATAAATTCCAAATCCCATCCCTCCCCTCCCCTAACCACTGTGACCAAGAAAACAAGGACATATTTTACAGCTGAAGCTGTGGTCCTAGGCCAGAAATCCAACACAAAACACCTGGTAATTATTACCCTGGAAAGAAAGAGAAGCTGCTGAACTGTTCACATTGCAAATGCTTCAACTTTCTTATTTATTTTACTGAATGACTTTAATGCAAAACAGCATTCCAGTAGTTTACTACAGGTGTGGCTCTTCTGCAGCACTTATCATATGTAAGATACATGCTTATGGCAGAGCATTATGAGGAAGTTAAACTAATTTGAAAACACAAAGATGGCTATATTTGAAAACATAATACATAGCAATTCTGTCAACCCTCCATTAAGTTGAACATTGTCTGTTGAAGTCATGTCAGACACTTGCCACTTAAAAAAATACAAACCCCAAAAACCTTTCATATCAGCGGCCAACCTGAAACTACTAAATAAAAATAATAATTTTAATATTAGATAAAACATTAGACAATCTATGACAATCTACAAATCTAGTAGAGATTTATCAAGAAAGGAAAACAATACAACAAGCTTAAACCGCAAATCCCCAAACCTCTGTTATGACATACTGCAGGTCAGGTCTGTATGGAGAGATTTCTACAATATTTTTCCCAAATTTACTAGAATGTCCTTATTTTGGTTTAGAGTTCAGCCCATAGTGCATCCAGATAGCAATAGTTGTTGAATGGCTGAACAGGCAACTACCAGAAACATAACTGAACTGTTCTGTATACAGATTGGTTACAAAACACCAAATATTTTCTGTAACATTAAAAAAACCCAAAGCATTTGTTTGATTAAAGCTGCTTTTGGGTACATGCATCTTCTCATACC